GGATCAAATGGTTTTCAATGCATTCCTATGGGAAATGCAGATTTGACCTGAGAACTTTTTGACTTGAGAACCGCCTTCCAATACGGATTAAGTTCTCAAGTCAAGACCCCACTGTATTAAAAGGGGGAAAACAGTGAACATCCAAGGCTGCTTCTTTCCTTAGGACAGCCATGACTAGCCCTTACCTTTGTTTGACAGGAAATCCTGGGTACCTGTGGCTGCCCCTTCGCCATTTAGCACTGTCCCAGTTACAGCTGAAATAGAGAAGTTTGAAATTCAGTGTCCTCATTTTATTTATCCAGATTTTGCCAATTAGGGATGCAAATCTTCATCTTTTCACTGTGTAAGATTAGGAGAAGTTTTGTGCATTTTTCACATTTTCCATGTAAAGGGAATTTCAAAACAAGAACTGTTCCATGGATGTATAATTCCCCTTCTTTGCATATATTAATTGGGGGGGGGGACAGAGAGAAACATGTCTGATTGATAAAAATCATTGTGGCTGGACCAATGCACTGAACTATCTTTCTGCAATATATAAAATGAGACAAACAATATCTTGTTTTCAAAATACTGAAATGGCAATTCCATGGCACTGTTGGGTTCTATGTTTGCTTGGCTTCTGTGTTATAACTGCATGTCTGTATGAGAAAGAAGGAAATGACATGGAAGGCTGTTTTAAAATTTGTAGAAGAGTTTTTGCACAAGCAGGTCTCATTTTGCACCAAAAGCTTACATTTTGCATAAAAGGTCTTGTATTCTGAGTAAAATACACAGTTTTGTATACAAAACTCATGGTTTCCCCCCCCCCCACAAATACTGTATATTCTTTCTCTGCTTATGCTGCTACTAATGGAAATCAGTGCTGGTTTTTTTGCTTTCATGCAGGAGCAAAAAATCTTTCACTAGACATTTTTCAATGAGCATCTTGGTTTGTTGAGGCACCCCGTTTCATTCGGAAGAAAAATATTTGCATATATTCATTGCATCTTTACTGTCAGTACTTGAAGCACTTTCCTCACAGACTGATGTGAAACGGCATCCATCCTCCATTGGTTTTTAGAAGCAGGCATGTAAGAGGATTTTTCTGTCCACTGGAGACCATGTCATTGGCCATGCAGGGATTAACTCTTTGCTTTGTACCATTTCCCTCATTAAAACCACCCCACTGGGGCTAAATTTACAGATACCACCAGCACAGGGAAAAACAATCTCCTGTCATACTGGCTTTTCTTCCCACTCTGTGCTCTCACCTTCTTAAAGCTTTTAAAAAGCCACAGCAGATCCAATCACAAACCTCTCCATGTTATGTCCGATTGTGCCAAACAGTCATTTTTTGAAATATGTCTATGAGTGTTTTAGTATATCTATATATAATTGCATCCACTGACATATGAAAATACTGGGAGATTTTTTTCTTTAAATATTTACTTGGAAGTAGTTACTTTGCACAAAGATCTGTACCTTACATAATCAATTTCCCCCAGCCGTAGCTGCAGACAATATATACTGGATTGTTTCAGGAACAGTGGTGTGAGAAGTATTAAGAACTCAACACTTGTATTTATGAGAATCAGACTGTTATGTAACGGATCTTGCCAAGCACCAAAACAAACAAGATGACAGTGGCACATTATCCCTCACAAAGAGAATCTTTGAAGATGATATGCTTACACAGACAACATGCAAGCAAATCCCATTGTTTCCTCCTAATAATCTCCTACCAAACAAAAGCAAGCTAATTTGGAACTTGCAAAGCTGTGAAAGACTTTGGAGGAAAATCACACCTTCTTTACTGCTCAGATCAGCTCTGCTTCTGACTGTGAAGCTTCCTTTCTCATCATTTTGGCCCTCAGAGATACTGCAGAGAAATTTTAATGGGTGGCAAACACTGCCTCCTCTTCGCTTTTAACATAAAACTGGTGACTAATCAAAGAAACACTGCAAAAAGCTAAAGCAACTGCCACACATACTATCCCTCTCATTACAAGAGCTTTACCCATACGGCCAACTTCAAGCAATGTATGATTTTTAATAAATAAAATTATGAGTGGGCTCAAAAGGAGTGTGTATTATGATTCCAATTCTTACAATATTTTGGTGATGAAGGAACCTTGTTACCAAAAAGACTGGGGAACCTCAGAATCTAGTTCTTCCATAGTTTGAGAACTTTGTGGTAGGGACCCATTATTGAAAAGCTTCTCCTGCAGAGAACCAGAAGGCAGCAAAATTGTCCTACTAAAGAGCTCTATATGTTGGTCAAATGAGAAATGTGCAATGTTTTCTTCTTATTCAATGAACATGATTTCTTCTGCCTATTCAGTCCCAGGACTTGTGCCTTCATGCTACCTCTGCTGCTGGGGAGATTCTCCAGCAGCATGAAAAGTAAGACAGTATATGCCATATTCACCCATGGAGTAAGACTCCTGTTATTCTGACCTCCTATTATTTATATAGAGAGACTGGAGTGTTTTCTATCACAAGAGATGTGTCTTACCTAGTTCTCTCTCACTTAGGTCCAAGAATTATCTGCATATTCATGTACCAAATAGGAAACATACCGTATTTGACAGTGTATAAGACGACTGGGCATATAAGACGACCCCCCAACATTTCCACTCAAAATATAGTATGTATATTTCTGAAGGGAAATGGTGGGAGTTTAGAAAGATAAGGGAGAGGAGGAGGGCAAGCGGCCAGGCAGGCAGCAGTGGAGGAGGAAGAGGAGGGCAAGGGCAAGTGGCCGGGCGGGCGGCATTGAGGAGGGCAAGGAGGAGGGCAAGTGGGCGGGCGGGCGGAGGAGGAGGAGGAAGAGGAGGGTGAGGAGGAGGGCAAGCGGCTCTTGGCGGCGGGCGGGCGAGCAGGCAGTTGGCTCAGAGGCGTGGGGCGGCAGGCTCTGGCCGCTCAGGCATGGCTGGCTCTGCTTCCATCCCTCTGTCCGGACCAACCGACGACCTGCCCGCCTGCCTTCCTCCCCGGCCGGCGGTGGCAGCTCCTTCTGAAGTGCACCCGGTGTATAAGACGACCCCCCCCACTTGGAGGCATGTTTTTCAGGGCAAAAAAGTCATCTTATACGCTGTACTTTTTTTCATGGTCCAAATGTTTAACATTCTTAATTTAGTTTATTTAAAAAGACCCCTAAACAGCTATTAGTCCCAATGTACAGAGAACTGACATTTACAGAATAACTCAAGTTGAACCAACTGCTGAACAGGGCCTTCAGACCCATTCTCTAAAGTTTGTAGCTATTATCAACCGGGCCATACTGATCTAAACAAATTAAGAACAGCTTAAATAGGGTAATCATAATAGCAAACTATTCTTCTTTTAAACAGTTTCACAACTGGTATGATTGTAGATAGAGATAAAGTCACATGATGAGAGGGTGACAAAGTCACATGATGAAAGGGTGGTAAAATGTCTGGCTGTAATCCTATAATTTAAATAAGATACCTGTACATTGAATTCAATGGGATTTAATTCTGAATAGGTTGGTGCAAGACTGCTCTCTTAGGAATCACTACTACAAAGTATCAGTGCAAAGCATCAGAAATTATATTATAAAATAATAACAATTCTGACAAATGGCAACCTTTTCCAGGGTTTCTTAGGTAGAGTACTCAGAAGTAGTTTACTATTCTCTTCTTCTGGGGGTGCCCTGGAACTGTGCAGCTTACCTGTGACTACATGAGCTGGCTTTTCTCCCAGAAGGCACAGTGGAGAACTGAACTCCCAACCTCTGGCTCAGCAGCTAGATACCTAAACCATTGTGCTCTCCAGCCAGCTTTCTTGTATGAGAAGTTACCCAAAACATAAAATATACATGCTACTCGCTGTGAAAGGTATGTGCTTCTGTCATTTGCTCCTTGAAACTGGGGTTCTGATTGCTTTTTTGGCTGCTGATTCTGAAAGTTTGAGATCAGCACATCATATTTGTCCCCTGCAAAACCACCTCTGAATTGAATGCACAAATCTTGCTCTGGGAAACATGTACAAAATATAGAATGAAAGCTGCCCTACCGTTCCAGTTCACAATACAGTGGTGCCCCGCATAGCGAGGTTAATCCGTTCCGGATTAACCTTCGCTATGCGGAATCGTCGCTAAACGGGTAGGGAAAATGTATTGAAACGCATTAAACTTAGTTTAATGCGTTCCAATACCTTTCTTACTTACCCGTTCAGCGAGGATTCCAATTGCCGGCAGCCATTTTCGCGCCCTCGCTAAGCGAGGGCATGGCGTGAAAACGGCTGCCGGCCGCCATTTCCGGGCTTCTGGCAGCCATTTTTGGGCCCCCGGACATTTTGGAGCCACTGAACAGCTGTTCGGCAGCTCCAAAATGGCCGCCGCAATACCCGATCTTCGCAATGCGGGTTTTCCCCATTGTGAAGATCGGGGATGTTTCTGTATAGCGATCCCGAAAAAGGGATCGCTATACGGAAACATCGCTATACGGTGCACTCGTTACGCGAGGCACCACTGTAGTCTCATTCAGCTTTGTGTTTATGATCTCTGCATTGTGGAATGGAGTGCAAAATATTTAGGACCAATACATGTTGCACAGAAGGTTACATTAATTTAAATTCTGGCATAAACACTGCCACTGTCCAATTATCACTTTGCTTTCAGTTCACCAATTTCTGCACCACAACACTGGCTACAAAAACGCCCATATCTCATAGGTCCAAAGCCTATTTCATGAAGTATATATGTACCCATTATTTATGAAGTGAATGAGAGTGTTCTATAGAACCTGCTGGATGTCTCTGTAAGCAGAAAGTCTGAAGAGAATTATTTAATGGAGCAGAATTAATGGTTGTCTTGGAGAAGGCCAAGCATTCATCCCCCACCACCAGCTGAAAGGTGAGTGCTAGCTTAATGGCAGCTGGAAAATGATGAGAAAAAGTAAGTTAACCAAATAAGCAAGATGTTCTCATGACACAATTACGAGACATTTCCATATACCCCCCCCCCAGTGTGAAAAGAATTATCACTAGCGTAAAACCCAGGATACTTCCACTCATTGTAATGAAATCAATACAGAGGCGATTAAACAATGCAATGAGCAAATGAGCACATATTTCACTCTTTCAAGACAGCAATATTGCTTCAGTACAAATACCAATCTGACAGTCAGATATTCTTTCTAACATACATAGCATTCATTTGGGAAACATTTCTTAAATGTATCTGTCTAACAATTTCATTCTACTTTGATACAGTTTTTAATTAATATTAATTATTAAGCATATTCATTACACGTACTTGGTTTTACTCCTTTTGACTTTGCTGGAGAAGTCACAGCATTAATCAGGTTGCATAATACTGCTCCTCTGCTAATCATTTTCTGAACATCAGGTGCTTTTAAATTCCATTCATCTTCCAAATTCTAGGAGAGGAAGATATTGTTATTTTTATCTACTAACTAAACATCAAAAAGAGACAATATCTATTTCGATTCTGAAGAACATGGCCAGCAATAACCTTATTATGACATATACCTTCTTGCCTTAGCTATACAAACCATGGCAATTTCCTCACTAGAAACATGGATTGACTGAATCACACCTATATCATGCAATTGCCCCACCTGCAATGACTTTGCCATTCCCTCCAGTGGAGGGTTTCATTGCAATGATTTATCCTTTCATACTCACCAAGTGTCTCTCTTTTTCAGAGAGAATGGAAAATGAACACCTTACACATATGGGGTTCTGAAATGTAATGACCATGTTACATTAATGTAATAAAAAAACATTATTGTGCACCCTACTTTAATCTTCTTAGTTTCTGAGGTCAAAACAACAACGTCAGTTCAGAGAGCACTGCTTAAAGGATTAACATGCAAATCCTATTAAATGAAACATTGCCTGCAACTACAAGAAATATATTACCTTGGTGCTTTGCAGGTGTTTCTTTAAAGTGTCCATGTTTAAAGAGGAGTGCACATCTGGAATTCTTTCAGTCATGTTGTCTATCCATTGCTTTAAAGACCCTACATCAAGCTTGAATGCATCCATTTGTTGCTGGCAAGAGGACACATCTTCTTCCCTATATTGTTTAAAATAATACGGCTTATGAGAAATACAGTGTCCTTGCACCCAGGATTACATAGGCACAGCCCTCTTCAAGGTAAACCTATGACATTAGTTATGTTGCAGTGAATTAGGTTCTTTGACATGCCTAGTGCATTTATGTATAGACAGAGAAGTTGCCAATTTCTACTTCCACCTGTAGGCCATCAATACTGCTCTTGAGTGAGGGTCACAAAGGAGCGTGGTGGGAATGGGGCCTTAGAGGGCTTGAGTTTCCATGCAGATTACCACACAGAGCTCTTCAGGCTCTTCAGGAGGTGAGGCTGAGGAGCCTGACGCCAAGAGAGGCCCAGAAGGAGAAGACACGAAACCAGGCCTTCTCGGCGGTGGCTCCTCGCCTCTGGAACAATCTCCCTCCAGAGATTCGTGCGGCCCCTACACTGGGCATTTTTAAAACCCAATTAAAAACATGGTTGTTTATCCAGGCCTTCCCTCCAGCCAATTCTTGATTTTCCTTTACTCTTCTATTTTTATTTATGGGACACCCCTGTATTATGTATTTGATACTGTTTTTATTTATAGATAGATAGATAGATAGATAGATAGATAGATAGATAGATAGATAGATAGATAGATAGATAGATAGATAGATAGATAGATAGATAGATAGATAGATAGATAAATAAATAAATAAATAAATAAATTCAGCCCAACAAATAACATTTCTCTATACATTTTTATTTTGCCATCACTGTTTTTAAATTCTGCAAGGTAATTACAAGCTATCAGCTCATCTTCCTTTTATAAATAGCAAAATACATTGCAATTGTTTTTCTGAATCTGAGAGAATATAATTAGGAACTCTAATTATTTCATCAATGCAACCGGTGAGGCTTTAAATTTACCAAGAGTGCAGGGTTTGTATAGGAAACCTTTAATCTGAGTGAAACTGCAAAACAAAGGTATACGTTTTATTACTGAGGTTGTTTTACCTGCAATGTGTTTCACTACAGTAGAGAATCCTTCCACCAGGAAATATTAAAGACAATCTCAAAAAGTCAGTTGTAATGAAATCTTAATAACATGCAATTTTACTTTATTGTAATTAAATGAAGATATTATGTTATATGCTGTCAAGTCAGAACTGACAGACAGCGACCACTACAGGACTTTCAAGGTAAGAGAGCTATTTAAGGAATAGTTTTACCAGATCCAAATACCCAGTGAGCTTCTATGGCTGAGCAAGGATTGGAATACAGGATTCAACTAAGTGAAGATACATTAATTAAAAGGCAGGCAATCAATCAATAAACAATCTTTTTATCCTCTGAGAGCTTTGATCCATTTTCATTGCCTTTATTATCACTATCATGTTATATCACTATTCTAAAATTCCATTACTATACTTACTTTTGTTGTATGGTCTGTTCCATTTCCTTAAACTTTTTTGATAGGCCATTTACTTTCTCTAATACTAAAGATTTGTCCCCAGGAAGAGCATGAGCAGAAAGTTCTTCAATGAGGTGTTGCAAAACTTCAAGATCTTTCTTCTGTTCTTTCAATTCTGTGCTAGTTTCCTACAAAATGGACAAGAAAGTGATTGCTTCATTCTCAGCCACATGGCCTGGTGTTAAGAATCCGGTCCTCAAGCTCAGCAGTTCCCCTTATTATTGCAGATGGAATGACAATACCCGCTTACCATATGTGTTACTATGTGCCCAATAAGGTAGGCATATATCACCCCAATCGCTGTAAATTTTCCATACCTGCACATATAGGGACATCTCAGTAACATCCTTTCCTGGGATGTCAGCCTCACTGAAAGCCTGAGTTTTCTTGTCCAAGAATGACTGAAGTTTATCAGACAGGCACTCAAACAATTCCACCTTTGTTTTCAATCCTTCCATTCGTTCACGTTTTTTCTTGTGCTTATTACTTGCTTCACAAAACCGTTCAGAAAGTTCATTCATTTTAGCTTGCAAAGAGGATGCAGTAGATGGATCTGCTGTTTCCATGAATTTGTTCATTTTTTCTTTCATGGCATTCAAGCTGCTTTGACGACCTTGAATATCCTGCTCTAGTGCCTGAAATAAAGAAGTGTGAGAAGACATTCAAGATAAATATATGCATCTCCAAGTGGGTAAAGTGATTGCTGGCAAATGTAAATAACTGTGCTTTCCAAAGTCAAGCTTCTAAAGCAATGGAAGCCACAGACTCTGAACTAAAATGGGAAGCACTTCAAAGAATAGTTATTAGATGGAGTTGGCATGATTATATTGTGCAGCCACTGCTATTCTCATTATGCTGATCCTACCAGTGTATTCAGTCTACCAGCAGTCTGCATGGAGATCAGTGCAGCTGATGACCAACTTTGAGATGTCTTCCATCTTGGATTTTCTATCATATTAGCATATTAACACATCAGTCACTTAATCAGAAGATGTCTTTATGAGTAGTAGGAAGGTTTGTGCCTCAAATCAACAAAAGATAGCTCTATAAAGGCCTGCATCTTCTTCAAATACCAGAGGCGGCTAATGATTCAAAACAAATTTTCTTAAAATGTATCTTTTTTTTTAAAAAAAAGGTCCCATTCAAGCATGAAGCCCAGTATATTGAGAAAAGTTTGCTCCATTAAAATTCCACTTACTTTACTTTTACTGATCACATCCTGAAGAGCAGCAGAATTCAAAGGCACTTGACCTTGGTCCTCAAGACTCTTCTCAACACCATTCATCCAATCAAGCATTTCATCCAATCCATCCTGAACGCTTAATGAACGTGTCAGAGTGATCTGGAGTTTCTCATTGCGATCATTCACTGCTTTGGATAAGTGGTTAAATTTATCTACAATTGTATCTGAAGGAAGGATAAGAAAGGAAATGTCAATAGATGCATGGTAATGAATATAAGGAATTGTTTCTGACAAAGCCAAATCTCTAGTCCATGAACTCCCAGACAAACTTTGTTCCTCAGGCTCAGTGGAAATCTTCCCTATCCTGCTCAATACAATGCTTTTTCTAGAGAAATCAAAAACAGAACGTTCTACATTGGGGGGAAAAGGGGGCACATATTATCGTGGCACCTCAAAAATGAATGGATTTGTTTCCATGCTGGTTTTGCAGATGAAAATCCAATTTCTCCAATAAACTAATATGTTAATCTTTAAACTGCCACAATATTTTGTGCCCCCCCCAAAAAAAACATGATTAAATAGAATAAAAGAGAAATATCTTTGGACTCTTCTGCCTTCCATATCAAGGATGGCCTGCATTTAATCCTCCTTTGACAGATGGGTCCAATCCTTTTCACAGTTGGGAAACCATAGGGCTGTGGGTTGGGGAAGGAAATCTTTAATTGCTTAAAAATTCCACCACCTGTAAAGTCATCCTGTTGGTGGTAATCTTCAGTAATTAAAGACTTCTCACCCCTCATCCTGTGGCCCCCACATGGGAGCCACCGGTACCCTCGGACAGAAGTAGGAAATGTTTATTTCACTTCAGTTGGTGAGCTTTATGTGTCGTTACTTGCACAAGCGGATATTCACTACTGAAACTAATTAACGGTTGAGAAGTATGTCTTTAAACCACTAATCTGAGGAGCAGTTCATGTGGTAAATATCTTCTGCCCTATTTTGGATCAGTTCTCTTGCAAGTATTTTGCATGTTTGATGCCACTCACTGAAATGTAATATATTCTTCATTCCTGCATATTTGCACATGAGTGAGAATTGAGTTTCTCACTGGCTCTTTGCCATGGCTGATCACGGCGACTACAATTCCTGAAGTCATTGTGATATGGCATCTTCTATGTACATATGGCAATGTTGTAGGCAATTAAAAAATCTCCAAAACTCAACAGATTCCTTTCCAACATGGCTCCTCTTCGAAGGGAAAAATATTTTACCTCTTGTATTCTGGATTTCATCTTTGTCAGGTAGCAGTTCTCCTCTAGTGTCAAAAAGCAGTTCAGCCGCTTTCTTCAGTTTCTCTACAGCAACTTGATGACCAGACACCTGCCCCTGGAGCACCTATAAAATGATACGACTTTCAACCATCTTTCATGGCACTGTTTTCCCCCCCCCTCAAACCTGCAAAAATAATAGTAAGAGTTCTTTGCAAAACAAACACACACATATACATATTCAGTCATCACAAAGTAAGCTGTTTACATTGTGCATGAGTTACATCTTGTTCTGCTGGTGAACCTCTGAGTGGCATCTGCTGGCCACTAGTTGCCATGGCTAAACCGTTGGTCTGGTCCAGCATAGGCTTATCCTATCCTACTTCAATTCTGACTTACGGTGATGCTTTTCAGGGGCTTCTAGGTGGAAAATACACAGTAGTAGTTTACCATTCCCTTCTTCTGGGGACACCCTAGAAATGTACAGCTTGCCCAACACCACAAGGCTGTCTCTACTTGCAGGAAGCACAATGGGGAACTGAATTCCTACCTCTAGCTCTGCAGACAAATACTTAAACCACTGAGTTCCAACCTCTGGCTCTGCAGACAAATACTTAAACCACTGAGCTATCCTGCCAGGTTATTCTGAATTAGGGAGCCATGATTTTATAGCTGAGACATTTTGCTACTTCTGTGCTCGTGTACATTATTGTTAATTTTGATGAGAGAATGAGAATTTCCCCTAATACTTAATGTGAGTTATTTTTGTCTATTTTCCACATAACTGTATGGAAAACCACCTAAAACCAGAGCATGTTACCAACAATCATTTTCTCACAATCCAATCTATCCCATTAGAGTTGTAGGTAAATTAGGCCATGTTGCGAGATCACCACTGGCCCAAGACACCAGCGATATACACCAGAGTGTTAAAATAATTTATTATTATAACTTATTACAAAGAACAAGTCATTTGTAATCAGTTCTCTTTGTTTCCAATAATTAAGGCAGAACTACCTTGATTTATGCATAATGAAATGTAATTCCTTTTGTACATGCCCAGGTGGATACACACACACACACACACACACACACACACACACAAAAGTGCACATGCACACATACACAGTCTTTCAGTTTGCTTGTAATTCAGTATAAACTTATAAACACTTGCTCAGATACACCAAACAGACCTGGAGGTGTATCTGATCTGGAGACATGAAATCATAAGCTTGATGTTTCAGTGCGGAGCATGTTCAAGGTTAATAGCATAATCCTATTCATGTTTCACGGAAGGCAGGTCCCAGTGTGTAACGTGCCTAATGGAGCTTTGCTGAGAGCTGTACTAAGATCTCCTCTTTTCCACACTAGTAACCTCATTCCATTCATATCCACTTGGGAGCAACATTCCCTCTAAGCTGCGCGGTTGCACAGCGGTGTAGTGGTGCTGGGCACCTACAGTTAGTATTGCTGCTCATTTGGTTCTAGTCATGACTGGAACTTTGTGTGAATAGGGCAGGGTTTCCACTCAGTCCTGGTGGAAAATTAGAGGGAATATTGCTTGGGAGCAAATTACACTGATATTATTATGGTTTATATTTATGAAAGCCTCATGGAACTGCAGTCTAAAACCAGAAAAACAATTTGGATTTCCCATTTAATCTTGGCGTCTGGAAGGCTACTATCCAGATGTATTGCCTCTGTTATAGTAAACTTATTTGTCCATTACATTTACTGCAATAACATTAAGTGGAGGGGAGCTATTTTGCTTGTCAAAAGGAAGACAAAGGCCTTAAGCACTGGTAGGGGGGAAAATCCAGGACCTTGGGAACTGAAGTGTATTTTGAACTTCTAATCCCTGTAAAAAGATTATCCATACCATGCTGCCAAGGTCAATACTTTGATGGATTATAAGGTCTGTGCGTCAGCTGCAAAAGGTAGCTTTAACTTACAAACACCTGGTTCTTTTAAAAAGCGTTCTTTGCAATCATTGTCTATTCATTTAATTATGTTTCAACCAGTGAAACCTCTCTCCCTCTCTCTCCTTATGTTCTCCCACCATACACCAGTCTAGCATTATTATTTTTTCTCCACACAAATCTCTCCTAGAATCAGAGCTCGGGCTTCTATTAGAGGCACCAGAAGTTTGAGTTTTCTTCTGCTTGTGCAAGGAGGTACCCAGGACTTCCTTCTATAAGCATAAACCCAACGATTCTGAATCAGGACCTCTGCCTATGTCGCCATGATTGTGCAAGGAGAGACTGTGTTATTGCACAAACAGCACTTTATCCTTCTTGAGCACTTGGACATGAAGTTTACATCTATCAGGCAGGTTGCACAATATTACCAACTGAACCATGCAAAAGAACTACATTTTAATGTAGTCCTGAAAACAAATAAATATCCATTTTAAGGCCAGGATCCAAAAAACAGCACTTTAGATAAGTTAAAAGGCAGACTATTGTACCAAAATGCAGAGTGTGACATCTTTAAATTTTAAAAGGGTTATACAAATATATACAAGGGCATGTGTAAGCTGATGACATCATCCACCATGATAATGTTGTCAAAATAGATGGCCTGCCTTCACTGGCAGATAGACTAGATGAACTTTATGGTACCCTTCAACTATGACTATATACATTAACCTTTCTCCTGAAATGCTAGAGGGATGCAGTTTTAGGAGTGAAGATTCTGAACAATTTATACAAATTTGAAGAAAGTTTATAAAACTGATAAAAGCTTCCTTCTCTTGGTCTTGAATTGTCCCCTGAGTGTGATTAATAACCATATGAATAACCTAGTCATAAAAGACCAGAGAGATTGAGAGAGAGGAGAAATCATCCCAAAGTCACAAATACGACTCCAGCGCATACATCCTGAGCAAAATGAGGTCAACAATGAAAGCACTGTGGAATACCAATATTATGCTGAATACCATTAGGGGCGGCTTCAAAAGGCATTTTGTACTTGGGACACTTTTCTTATGCAGAAAATACATGTCAATGATGCTGGTTATGAACCATGCCCATTTTCCTTCAAAATATGCAAGTGTTGTTCAGGTTCATCCCTGTATGTAATGTGAAGTAGGGGAACAACTTATACATTTCAATCCCTTTCATAACAGCTTATGTCTGTAATATCCTAAAATACAGTGGTGTCTCGCTTAGCGATCGCTTTGTTGAGCAACGAAATTGCTTAGCGATGGGGTTTTGGCCATCGCAAGAGCGATCACTTAGCGATGGTCCCTATGGGGGAAAATCGCTTTGCGATGATCGCGGGGGAGTGATCATGGCAAAGCGACCCTTTTTAAACAGCTGATTGGCGGTTTCAAAATGGCCACCGGAAAAACAAAATGGCCGCCCGCTATTCTGCCTTGCTTTAGAGGCACCGAAAATGGCCGCCCCTATGGAGGATCTTCGCATAAGGTTAGTTTTGAAGCCCATAGGAATGCATTAAACACGTTTTAATGGGTTTCTATGGGCTTCAAAAATTGCTTTGCAATTAAATCGCTTAGCAACGTTTTTCCTGGAACGGATTAATGTCGCTAAGCGAGGCACCACTGTATTTATTTCCAACTAAAAAAAATGTACTGTATTAAATTATCCCTAGGCTTGCTGCATATCTCTTTTTCTCCCTTGTCTGCCATGTGGGCCAAGACAAACTGAAGGATCTAATTACTTGTCAGATTGCGCTGATCTAAGCAATATATAAAAATTGAGAAGTGTAATATCAGCTTTACAGTGCAATTCTATGCATGTATCCAGAGGTTCCACTGAGTACAGTAGGACCCCCCCCCATTCACGGGATCAATATCTGCTGGCTGAAAATACTAAATAACCCACCCCCACCCCCCGGAAATACCTATTTATATGTATTTCCAGGGTGTATTTACCAGAATTGGCCACAAGAGGAAGCCAGAGACCATGCAATGTACAGTGTTGAATACAGTACTTCCACCCTTTTCAGCATCCGCTGGGAGTGGCTTGGAATCAATGCCTGATGGATACCGCGGTCCTACTGTATAGTGGGACTCTCCCTCCAGGTAAGTGGGCATAATGTTCTAGTCTTCAAAAACAAACATTTGAACCCACTCTCCCAGATCCTATTTACATGCTTCTCACACCTCAATCTTCAGAGTTCATCTTCCCGGACAAGACAGGAAGTGTCAGGAGACAATATTTAGGAATCTAGAAATCTTCCTGGCCAAAACTAAGACAGAGACTTTGTGCATATACAATTGTTCGGTGAAATCTTTGTGAACCCAGGATGACAGATATGTAAAGTGACATGGAATTCAATCATGTTTCCTCTGCAGGCAGATGTCAGCTCTAATTCTCATTTCCATTGTGGAAAGGCAGTCAAGGTTCTAGTTTGGTAGCCCAAAGCATTTTTAGTAGATGTACGTAAACAAATTGAAGCTTAAACTAGACAAAATGGACTACAGTTGTATTTTATAATCCTATATGCCTTTGGAATGGGTACCTTAAGAATTGACTCTTGCCATCAGCACAGTTTAGAGGCAACGTTGCTCCGAAGTGGATATAACTCTTTACACCTGTCCACTGTATTTCCTATGTACTATTCTCTCTCTCTTTATTGTCTGATACCCAGCAGGACCTCTAATACACAATTGGGACTGAAAAGCCAGAAAATAAGCAAATAAAAAAATAAGCAAATAAAAAAAAATCTGCTCCCTAATTCAGTCAGGAGGGCATGTCCTGCTGTTTTCTATAAAGCCCAGCCCTATGCACATCACATCTGAAAGACACTCATAAAATCTTGTCAACAAATGTAACATACATGCATATACCTCTTGGAGTTTGGAGTGGATGGACAAATGGAAATTAATCACACACTATAAACAGTTTTTGAATTAATGAAATTAACACAGGATATTTTCCCTTGCTTTACCTTGGCTTCTTCTAACTGTCTCTGAAGATTTTTCGGATCTGCTGCAACTGGTTCGGACAGGTGTTTATTCACAGCTTCTTCAGAGCCCTGGAGCCCTGACAGAAGTCCAGATGAGATATCCTCATAATTCTGATATTTATCCACCAGATCTTTGAGGTTATTTCCAAGGATACTGCACTAGAAGGGCAAAGAAGGAAAAAATGGTATTCAAGAGCAGATCAGCTATTTTAAAGTACTATTTTAATCTCACTAGATAAAGCATTGGATGACATCAGAATGTCTTGTTTTTAAAAATTGCTTACTAATACTGAAAAAATATTTCAGCATTGCTGAACAGAAAAACAATATATTTCTTTTGAACCCTTCTGTAGTTAGAGGTGAACAGGGAACTCTTTCTCTCTCTCCCTCTCTCTTAAATGCATGGTTTACTGACAGGGCGTCTAGACAATGGGTGGAATGGGGAAAACATTCTGGATAAACAAAACATGGTAATTCACTTTATGTGGTAGTTCATCATCCCCAACAGAAGCATTGAGCATAAGTCACTAAACAGCTACCAGAGATTGGTACCAAACATTGATAAAAACAATAATTTTTGTTTCTTTCTGCTGTTTTAATTAACTGAGCATTAAACTGCACAAGATGTGGAGCCTGCATTTAGAAGCTGACAACAGGTTTGTCCTTCAGTGATGAAGTTCCTCAGACCTATATACTGTACTTGGCCAAACAGGACTGCAAATTAAGCCCATGTTTTTTTCCTGATTACCAATCATGAAACAAAGCTAATTTCTAAAATGCAACAATAGATCATACTAGGATAAAGAGATATCTTTCACCACTTAAACTCAGTTTCTAAATATGATCTACACATCACGTCTACTTCAATGTTTATTTCCTCTCTGGAAGTACAGCACCAGGTGACCTGGTTGTTTAGACGACTATGCTATTTGTATGAAGCACTTTCTTCTGCAGATTTTCTGGAGGCTATTTACATGAAGTCAGAACATTTCTTAAGCTGAATGGAAGCACATTATCTTCCTGAACACCTTTCATCTTTCTCTTCTGACACTTGGATTATACTCTAGGGTTTTTCTATTGCAATTGGCTCCATCTAGTGGTATCGTTTTTAATATCACACCACAGGAGACAGCCTATTACAGCTTTCAGGATTTGCAGGTGACATTGCAATATTATCTTTTTATGTGTTGAAAAGACCTAGGCTATGACATTAAATGCTTAATGAAGAAAGCTGTAAACTCACCACTAGAATCCTACTACTGATTAACACATATGTGAAATAATTTGCAAAACTCACTATAGTGAACTGCCACTAACAAGGTGCAGTTTATATTACACTAGGCACAACCCTGTTGCATAATCATGTGTGCAACATGGAACTAAACTAGTGCTTTGTTAGTCAGTACCAATTTGCTGCATTGTGTTACACAATTTAACTTACATATCCTTAAATAATCACCAACAGGATTTCAACTGGATACCTGAATTTGGCATACAAATGGATAAACATAAAATGCACAGTGTGTAACAAGAAAAAAAAACCCAATTAGAATCCTCTTCTCTACAAAAAGTATTTTGCTTTCAGTTTCATGCAACAGTTCATTGAGCCAGTCTACTTATTCCATCTACAAACGATCCACATGTAAGCATACTCAATTTACCTTGGAGTAGAGAGACTTGAAGCGACCAGTTGCGCCATCTAATTTATTCTGTACCTCTGTGTAAGTCGATGAAGTATCAATACCTTCTTTATCATATTTGACGCCTTCCCTTTTGTTACATGACTTGGCAGCATCCAATACTCTCTGTCCAGAAATGGTGATGTAGCGCAAGTCTCCTTTGTGAGAAATGACATCTTCAGAAAAGCTCTTCTGCCTCTTCAGTCTGGCAATAATGCCACCAAAGTCTGAGGCCCCCGTCTCCAGGTTCTCGAGCTCCTGCTCTGCCTGTTGGAGCCAGTTTTCAAATTCGCCATAGTCTGCATCGAACTTTTCAAGCTCCTCTTGCAAGGAACGTGTTAACTTCAGCTTCTGCTCCGACTCGGCTAAGGCAGCATCGTACTGCACCTTCAGTTCCTTCATGTTCCTCTGAATCTTTTCTTTTTCTTCTGGGGAAAGGTGATGCCCTTGCTTCTCGAGCAGAGCTTGGGCAGATTGTGTAGCTATGATGACAGCTTGCTGCTGAGAAATAATTTTCTCATGTTGAGCCTGGGAGTGGCAGGAATCAAAACATACTTGTAATTAGTGTTGTATTCTGGAACATGACCAATTACTGAGCACCTCTCCATTTATAGGAAACATACTTTTAAAATCACGTCTCAAAATCATGAGACAATTCAAAGTATTGTCTGAAATCCTGTTGCTTAGTGATGCAATTCATAACAAAAATAGGCCCATTGAATCAGTGGAAATTTGGTGAGTGGATCATTCCATCAACCAGTGAAAAATCCATTTTGGAACTAGATGTCATGGATTTGGTTCATTTTTGGTACATTTGTACCTTACCATGAGATGCTTAAAAATATTTTTTTTCAGATATTTTGGTCCACCTATTTTTGAGATATTGCATTTTCCAAATTGCAAATAAAATGCCAAAATTCACTAGCCACTGTAACTCCAAATGTCATTTAATAGATATCTATGATAGCTACCGACCTGGGACAGGTGTCATTTTAAATCTTAGGAATAGGGCTTTCATTTGATATATAACATGATGCAATTGTACATTTTCAAAAAAAAAATTACACATTTAAAAAAAATTAAAATTTGAGGTTTTGGGACAACAGAAGTTTTTTTAAAGTTTTCAAAATTTCACCCTTAAAGATACATGTCTTGTAGCCAATCAATCCAAATTTCAGGATAGCATCTCAATGGTATCATATAAAACTTACATTTTCTTGTTGGCAGTGACAAGGATTTAAATTGACTTAGCTCCGAAAACAGACCAAAATGTCTATACCTAATGATTAAGAACCTCTTTTTTCTTGGCTAGCATGTTGGATGCTTTTGTCATATCCTGTGGGGTTAGCTGGTATGTTCTCCCTGTAGTTGTAATTGGATCCAGTTTGCCCACTGGATCAAATGATCAAAATCTACATATCATGGTATGGTACAAATGTACCAAAAATGAACCAAATCCATGACGTCAAGACTCCATGCATTTGTTGATATGACATGGAATGACCCAAGTCAATGCCTCCATAATCTCCACTGATTCAATGGTCTATTCTAGTCGTGACTTTACACCAAGCAACAAGTTTTTAATCATTATGTGGTACAGATACACCATCAATCTAATGTATTTTCAAACCAAAAATCAACTGCATGCAAACACTAAAACTTTATACAAAGATTGACTCACTGATTTCACAGTAGGGGAGAGATCCACATATGCAGTGGTGTACATTCACTGAGCTGTCCACAACAAGAAAACCAATAAGGGAATGCTGGCGGTCATATAAGCTGTGCATTTGCTTACTATAGAAACAGTTATATCAGTCTCTCCCAGACAGGTCTGATTAGGTATGCTTTTTTCAGCTTGGCCTGCTTCTGTATTTTTCACAGCTTTGAGCATCTTCTGCTCAGAACTACATATTACAGGTCTCTCTTGGTTCCGCTCTGAAAAATCTTGGTAGAGCTAGGAATGGTTCTGTTGAGATGCCCTCACTGCAAGAAGGCAGCATCACTCTCAATAATCACACCAGAAATTGCTTGACTTCACTAAGCCTTCTTTTGCATGCTCAAAGAACACTGTCACAGCTTGCAGTACTATTTCTAAGCATGTGCAGGAAGGGTAGTATACCCCACACATCTGTGGACAACACTATGCCCACCTCATCCCCACCCCAAGAAACAGACGTTAACTGAGAGATATTTATAAGTAGTAATATGTATCACAGTACCTTAGCTTTCTGATACTGCATGTTGAGGTTATCCTCTGAGGCTCTGAGCTGTCCATCTAGTTGAGTTTCATTCTCCTGCTGGATTTCTAATAAGTTACCATTGACTTCATCTTCCTCTCCAACCAAACCCTCCACATCCTCTTCTTGGAAATGTGTGCCATTCTGTCTGATTGTTGGCTTCTTATTCCCGTGCCCAGCCTCCTCGTCTACATTTGACAACCAGTCCAAAAGATTTTCTATTGTACTTTTACTCTCCTCCAGTTGTTCTCTAGCTGCAACCTGCATAAGTGAAATCCAAGTTTAAATCTTAGTCATAAAACATTAAAATAGTTTAAATTTAGATACTGTAAAGATCCAGATGTAGACACATTTGTAAAAATTAAGTCTGTAAAATTTAAATTAAGGCTACGGAAGCCCTCTGGAGTCAGTCTGGGTGGGACAAAAGGCTGTAGTGGGGACAGGCAGCACATCAGTGATGTTGGATTTTGGTCCACTTTTCTAAATTCAATTTTTTAAAAATTCACACATAATAGTACTGATATGGCTGCTAACTGGAAATGAGGCTGCAGGAAGAAGCTTCTGCTAAATGTTTTCTCACATAGTTCTGGCATTTTCAGGCACTCCAGCACTATCTGTCTCTACTTCCACCCACTCTGGAATTGTGCTCTCTTGGCTGAAAGCAAGGAACCAAACTCAAAAACACCTTTACACACAGAATGATGCTAGGGCAGCTAGCAAACGCACAAAATAATTCTCCTTTCTTCATTCCTATTCCTTTCAAGGATAGACAGACACAATATAATGATTGGAATGAGCCTACCATTGAAAATAAGAAGGTTACCCTCTTTGAGACACCTCCCAAGGCAGAGGTGTATCTAATTTAAGGAATTGATTGTCTACAATCACCTACACGATCTTTGGTAGCTGGGTGAGAACACCTTTGTACAAAATACACATGAGGTGTGCCAGATACGATCCCTATGTGTATCATTAGCTCAATTACTATTTACAATAAATGTATGGTGGATCCCATTGCTGCAGATGGATATTTTAAGGAGGAACAGAGCAAATCATAAATAGATAATCCATATGTAATTTCCCACTCATAATTTTTTGCTTTCAGGGAGAGCATTATTCAGCTATGATTTATTGGTTGTATAACTCCTTTCCTACACAGGCTGAACTGGCATTCACTTTATTATCTTCCCTCTCTTGGCCACTTTAAGACTGCATTTTAAGTTTCAGAATAAACAAGAACTCAGGAGACATGGATTTGAAACTCATTTGGCCATGGAAAAATCACTTCATTGGGAATGGCACTGGTTAAAAAAAACCTCCTTAAATATCTCACTTACCTTGAAAGTCCTATTAGGTTCGCTATGATTTGGTTCCAACTTAATGGCACACAACACACTAATGCATATTATACAAAAGGCTGTACACGTGCAGAACTGGCTTCTGACTTGATAAACTGCCCTTCCCTTCCTTTCCCTCCCCTTGCTGGTGGCTGGAAGGTATAGTTCATGAACACCAAGATAATACCTATCATTATATCTTCTACACAATGTACTTGGGTCTTCATGTGGTATTTCAGGAGGTGAAAGCTACAATCATCATGAAGGCAATATCAGGGAATCAGTTTCTGCAGTGGCTTGAGCTCTAATGCTGGGCAAAGGAAAAGAAATGGCCATATTGAGATGAATGCAAGAGCTGGGCAGCTATCCCTGCCATTTTAGATTGGTGGTGGATGTGATTTATTAACACATTTAGAAAAATAAAATAATGTTAAGTTTTCTAGCCATCTACTGTGAAAGAACAGGCTGGCTTTCCATTTAGCAGGCTTCTTCTTGTTTTTCTGAAATACTGTCCTTATTAAACACCGGCTTTGTTGTGGACACCTTCAGACTAATACAATGTTGCCGCCCTGTAATACGGCTAGGAAAAGCTGTGAGAACCTCCAGAAAATGTTGCTGTGCTACGGACTGTTGCTTATAAGATCCTCCCTGAGAGTACAGTGAGGAACTAGATACCGTATTTTTCGCTCCATAAGACGCACCTTTCCATAAGACGCACCAATTTTTAGGAGAAGAAAACAGGAAAATATAATGTTTTCTTCGCTCCATAAGACGCACAGACTTTCCACCCCCGTTTTGTGGGAAAAAAGTGCGTCTTATGGTGCGAAAAATACGGTACTTTTTGTGTTTCTTCCACTTAGGAAAAATCTGGGATTACAGGATATCTCTCTTAAAACTGTAGTTTGATAAACATCAGTATTAAGAGATGAATGCTGTACTAGATGAATCTGGTGAATATCCAAAATTAGATAGATTAGTTTTCCTTTTTTGCACAGTACACATCACTGATTGTAGACAATCAGTTCCTTAAATTAGAGACAAAAGAAATGTATGGTATTGTCAGTTCTGCTATGTAGGGGAAAAGTGTCATGGAAGGTCATTTTAACATAAGATGTAAATGGCTCACAAATACTGTAACCTTTTCTGTTTCCTGCTTGATAGCTGTTGTCACAGCTTTATCCAGCTCTTTTCTGGACTCTTCTGCCTTCTGGCTAAGCAGCAAACATTTGGTCTTTGCTTCGTTCAACTTCTTTTCAAGAGAAATCTTGTCTTCCTGTCGGAGTCTTTCTCCATTTTCTTTCAAGAACATTTCCGTATTTTTCACTATTTCTGCCAATGCCTGAGTGTTTGCTTGCATATCTTTTTGCAACTCCTTGAGAAAAAACAACAACAACAACAACAATTAGGTCAAAAGAATGAGTTGTCTGCTTATTTTGTTTGTTTGGGGGAACTTCTTCAAGCCTCTTTACAAAAGTGCAGGCTAGACTTAGCTTCACATTTTGCAAGAAATGCAACAACAGAGTAGATGCTACTAGACTTAAAATACCTTGAACCCTGTGATTTCATCAGTATAGACAGTCTCTCCCCCAATGACGATTACAGCTATTCCACATCAATGTTGTGTTCACAGTCACTATAGCTAATTCATCACCTGGCAGTCAACATTCAGATGACCAGCCTCTCCATACTTAGGTAGACTGATCCTTGGGCCCTGTGCAAGGCCTTGCTCAGTGAGTAGCGCTTGTTCTCCACTGGTACAGCTTCCAATATCGCAGGGTTACCTCCACCTGCATGATGAAGTGGCAGGGTGGTACTTCTTCTACAGAAAAGTTTCCCTCGCACCAACATTACGACAGGAAAAAATTGTTATCCATCTCTGCATTTTAAATTGTCCTGGTGACATTTATGTTAGCAGTGCCACTGTTTTGCTTGGCATTTTACTTTGCAATTTTAACAATGTACTGTTGTGGCTATGATGGAGTACTTTCACCTAACAGCAAAGCAGTGGAAAGGAGAACTATAAGATGAAGTACAGTGGTGCATTGCTAGATGATTGACTCGCAAAATGAGGAATTCACTAGACGATAACTTTTTTGAGCAATGTTGTGCTTCACAAAACGACTGTTCCTATGGGCAATTTTCACTGGGCGATGTTTGTGGCCTTGCCTTGCCAGAGAGTTTTTTTTACCCTGTTTCGCAAGATGGTTCCCCCCCCATTGCAACACATTAATTACATAAGACCTATTTTTTTATCCCAAAAAAGTGGGGGAGAAAGTGTATGCTGCTGTTTTTCCTCCACTTTTTTGGGGGGGGGTCTTACATAATTAATGTATTTCAATGGGGGGGAACCCCATCTTGGAAAGCATCACCAATGGGGCTATGGCTGCGGGGAGGTCTTATATAATTAATGTATTTCAATGGGGGGAAACCCCATCTTGCAAAGCATCACCAATGGGGCTATGGCTGCAAATGTAAATGGTAGAGGATGGTGAAAACAGCCAGGAACCAAAGGGTAAAGAGATTGTAAAAAACAACAACAGAGAAATCACAAACATAATGCCCCCATTATCACAAACTATGTAGTTGAGTTCCCCACATTTGGGGAAATCACAGGGATCAACAGGACACTCAAAGTGCAATGGATGAGCCTGGGAAAACAATTTTTACAACATGGCATTTCCCCTACAAGGTATGAGTTGAAATGGCCCTTGCATCTCCTCCCCCTTCTGTCCCCTGACCCCACAAGGCATGGTGGCCCCCTGGCTGCACCTCCCACTCAGTACAGGGCTGCACAGCCCCAGTCCTGCCAGAGGCCAAGAGAGCTCCTCAGTGTTTTGGGGTGCCAAAACATGGGCTGCATAATTTGTGTTAATGGGAGATTGCACTTTTGATTTCCCTGGTTTTTCTAGATTCCTTTTCACCTCTCTTTCTCCTCATCAGGACCTATGGCAAAGGCAGCAAGTCCTGTTGATTTCTTGTTTTGCATTCTTTCTCTTTTTCTCCCCTCTGGTAAAGGAGTCATCATTATCAGGAGCCAGGGAGCTGCTTTGACTCCTTTTTATCCTCTTTCTTTGTTGCTGGAGAGAGACCCATTGAATTTCCAAAGGCAGTGCAGGTGAGGGGATTGCTTTGCCCCAATATGGTATGGGGAACTGTGTTTTGCAAGACGATGTTTGTGTTTTCTATGGACAATTTTTGTAAGATAGTGATTTTTCCCCCAATTGGAACACATTAAATGGATTTCAATGCATTCCAATGGGGAACTGGGTTTCACAAGACAATGTTTTCACAAGACAGTGATTTCCATGGAACAAATTAAAATTGTCTTGCGAGACACCACTGTATAAACACAAAACAAACAAACCAATGGAGCCGAAAGAGTATATTTCTCCTATTTTGTTTAGTTATTATACTATGGCTTTCCTCCAGCCTGCATGCCTGTTCACCTCACAGCAATGGAGCCAGAAAGAGTATATTTCTCCTATTCTGTTTAGTTATTATACTATGGCTTTGCTCCAGCCTGCATGCCTGTTCACCTCACAGACATTTTGAGATACATGTGCAGACCACATGAGTGGCATTTCTGAAGGTGTGACAACCTTCACACCATAAACTCAAACAGGGCTCTGATTGAGTGATAAAAGCTAGTCCCACGTGTATTCATAAGAGTTTAACATACGTTAGTAAGTTTAGCCAGAAATAGAGGTGTACAGATTTGTATTTTTGCCCTAGTCCAAAAACAAGGATCTCTACATTTCAAATCAGGAATATTCACAAATATCTCAGCTTCAACTTGCTCCTTACTAAATACATTTAGGACTTCATCTTTGGCCTCTTCCTGCTGATTATTCAAGTGCTTACCTCCTGTTCTGCTTGGTACCGTTGAAGCTCTGCCTTGCTATCTTCAATAACAAGAGATTCTTTGTGGCCAATCAGCTGGTTTTCAGTCTGTGTGAGGAGATCACATATATCCTGTAGCTTCTCTTTGAATTCCTGGTGTTGTTCTGCCAAGTCCTAATTTAGAATAAAAAGAAACTTGAATAGGGATGCCTAGAAGCTCCCATGGGATTAATATTAAAACAATCACATTGTAAAGGTTGTATCAGACACTATTTTTGAAAGTATGCTGTAAACATGATAGCAGTTGCACACAGTTTAAAGAAGCTGAATGTAGAAGGTATGGATAAACCTCACAAATGTGGTAAGTAAAGAGACCAGGTTTTGGATGGAATCGCTCAGTAGAAGTCTGGCCATGCATTATGCGTGTGAAAATCCAAATTTCTGAATGGCTTGAAACCTGTAATAAACAGGTGTTAATTCTGAAAAAGGGATGTCAAAAGATAGGTTAGTTGAAATCTATGTATTAGATCAGCTGGCATGTACATTGTTACCTGCACACAAAAGTCTTTCATGTTTTAAGCAATACAGAAGCGCACATGGAATGCCATTCATGACTCTTTACCATTTCCCACCCATCAACTATTGATTATATATGCAGTTTTAAAATCCTAAATCTCCTGAGCTGGATCCTTTTTCTCTCTAAGCAATTCAAAGAGCTTGGGACTTCAAAGCAGGGCTGACAGTAGTTTTTAGCGTATATACTGGAGTAAATGGTGAGCACTGGTGACACACTGGAAGACAGAGCTGAGTATTACACAGACCGCCCTGCACACAAGCTAAACTACCCATTTGTACACAGTTGCAACGTAAGACTCCTTTGGAGTTCCATGGCTTCCGTAGCATTGGAGCATGGAAGACATCTTGAATTTTACCGCAAAATACTTCACAACGGCCCAACTTTAGTAAACATTTATTTTCATGTTATTGGCTCAAAGGGCTTTCATCATGCACCCTCCAAGAACCTTTGTCCAACAAACTTTCAAAACTGCTGGGTTCATGCCATTCCATTAAGGCTCCATTCCTCAGAAATATCAGGCCTTAAATTAAAGGGCATATGAAGCTGAAGAATAATCACAATTCAGGAACTAACATCCTATCCTAACAGGCAGTGCTTGTGAGCTGCACAGAAAATGTACAGACAGATTAACATCTGCTGATGCACTGAACATAAGGAGTACAACTGGATCCCTCAACTATGTAACACAGTATTCCTCTTACAGAGGTACTCAGAGTCTAATCCAAAACCTAGACTCCACTACTTTATCTGTTATTTATGCTATGGTTTTAAAGTAAAATAGGTACCGTTTTTTAGCCTGAGGGGGATATTTTCTCATCATAGCTGTGTTTTGTTATTTACTACTCGGCGAACAACCTCATAATTTTTTTAATGCTGTTATTTAAAGTATATACTGTTAATGGTTCATAAACCCCTGCCTATCTAGAGTTCTGAAAGCAGGTACCTTGAATTAATTAATTAATTAATTAATTAATTAATTAATTAATTAATTAATTAATTAATTAATTGGCTTTTGGCCTCAGCTGGAGCATAGTTTTTACTGCTTCTCTAATTGTATCACCATGCTTTGGCCTCAGCTGGAGCATAATTTTTACTGCTTCTCTAATTGTATCACCATAATACTATGCATAGGATCACACAGGGAAGCAAACCTTCTGGTCAACAAGAACTTGTGCTGTCTGTAACAAAGTTTCAAAATGGCCCATTTGAGATTTTATGGTTTCCTGGACTTCCTGAAAGCGCTTCTGTGTGGTATTTAAGAGCCTCAGGAGCTGCTTGCTTTGGTTTGGGGACAGATCTTCGGCATGTTCAGAAATGAAGAACTGAATGTCAAGTGCTGTGGATTCCAGTTGCATTTTTCTGCGTCCATGCTCTTTTTCCATTTCCTGCAAATCAAGTAATGAAAAACAGCTAATATTTTCTTAAGTCCTGAAAGGATTTAGAAAATAAGTATGATTAACAAGTTAAACCTTCCCAACACTTATTTTGAGATTTCATCATATTTAAGAAACGTGAAAGGAGGCAGGAGTCTGTATATTCTGGAATCTGATCCATATACAGGAAAACTTGGGCCTGGGAGTGGAGAAATTTAGTACAGTATATTCAAATCTGACCAACTGCCATTTATGTTTTCTTTATAGATTTTGCCTTTGTTTACCAGTTTGCAATTAATAAGTAAAATCCATTAATAAACAACAACGATCATTTCAGTTTGTTAAACATACACAGTGGATAGATATGTAATTTTAATCCTCATCTACAAAGTGAGGACATATTAGTACCGAAAACTCTAGTGAATCCACTGCAAAATCCACATGGGACCAGGCCTATGCAGGCATGTCACCTGCACAACTCCAGGCAGTACCCCTGGGCCAACAAAGTCTAATCCATGAATCAGTGCCTTATACAAGCAATTTATTGTGACGTGTGGATTCAGAGTGGAGAACACTGAACATTGCAATAAACCATATCTGAAGGCACTCCAAGTAACAGTCACTGACTGACTTGTTATTAAATAACACCTACCTTGAGTAACTGGAAATTCTGCTTCACATCTTCTACACCACATGTATCCACATTCAAGCTGTTTATGATTTCACTCTTTGCCATTATCCAGTCTGTGAATTCCTGAAGTTTGAATAGATGCTCTTGATGTAACACTGCAAGTTTCGCCTAGGAAAAAAGTTGAAATCAGAGACACCTCTACCAACAGATCTACGAGACTGAAAGTCTACGCAAAATGTTTGCAGCAGCTGACAGCATAACATTGGCCAGAATCCTGTTTATTACTGCAGTGCAACATTACACTAACATAAAGGTGCCAGGCATTCTGCCCCAGCAGCAAGGACTGATCAAGAGTTGACATGGTTCCAGTTTTGACTAACTGCGCAAAATGGCAGCAGAAGTGCTCCTTGGATAGCACTTTTGCTTTAGTGAAACTGTAGCTACCATGGATGTAATGCTGAGCTACCATGGATGTAATGCTGAGTTATACTTGCATAGCTACTCAACAGGATTTCAGCCATTGTTTTCCACTATGTCTTGCTGTGATATTTAAGACTGACAAGAACATTCTGTAAATGGTACATGCACACAAGCCTATTGTATGCCCTGCCCTGCCCACAATTACTTTTCTCTCCCTCCCCACAAGCCTTTTTGTTCTGAGACACTGCTTGGAAGAAGAGGCAGCTGGGAAGGGAGGAAAGAGACAGAGAAAAAGGAGAAAAACAGAGAAGGGGTGTTGTAGAAGAAGAGATGTGGATCTGGCTCTGCCAATCATTCACATGCAGTTCTTGACAAATTTCTTTGAAAATGGGAGGCCAAATTTCTCTCTTCTGTTCTGAAACATATTTTAACATCATGCCAATTTATGTCACACAGAGGGAAGAAATACGGATTTGTAAGACTTCTAACAATCCCAAAAGAGGAATGCATTCTTCCTAATCTCAGTTACTATTTCACAACAATGGAACTTCCTTCCTTTCAAGACTGCCTAAATCATGAAAGTCTGGGAAAGTTCACATGCATATACATATAAGATCTAACATCTCATCACTCAAAAGCTTTTCAAGGAAGGACTCATAGATAAATGAGCCTCGTGACACAGTGGTTAAACTGCTGTAGTGCACAGCCAAAAGTGTGCTCACAACCTGCGGTTCAATCCCAGGTAGCCAGCTCAAGGCTGACTCAGCCTGCTACCCTTCTGAGGTTGGTAAAATGAGTACACAGCTTGCTGGGGGGGGCAATAAATAGCCTGCATAAGTAATTTGTTAACTGCCCCAAGAGTACTTTAAGCACTATGGGGAGGTATATAAGCATCATACTTTTTTTTTCAATGAGAGAACTACTTTAATTGGAAGGCACTGTGTTTGAGATGCCACGAAATCTCTGTCTATGGTGCTGAGGTATGATGAAAGATTCATATTCATCAACATTTCCCTTTGTAGTAATCAATATAAAATGATGTTTTGGGTTGTCTACCTACCATTTCTGCCTCTACTGCTAAGACTATTTGTTTTGCTTGTTTTGAAGACACATCACAAACCAACATGAAATTCTCTTCCAAACGATCATAGTTCTCTTTCAGATCTTCAAGCTGCTCTTTGGGAACATCCTTGTGCTGGCATTTCAGAAACTCTTCAGCCAACTTCATATCTTTGCGCAAGATAATACTGAAGCCAGCAAGTCCTGATTCAAAAGACTTCAAATGAACACATAAACAAAAATTCAGATGAGGTCTATTAAGACTGTGGGGAAAAAAACAATGTTACTACAGGTTTTTTTTCCATGCCTTTCAAAATAAAAAATAAAAATAATCGATGTGGGTTTTAGAGAAAAGATGCATTGTGAAGAAATGACCGGCGCTTCTTGGTCTATAAGAGTGACTGTGGTGTAACGGACAAAAGGACAGGTTACTTACCTGTAAACATGGTTCTTCAAGTGGATCTCTATGAATACACACCAGTGGGTTAAGACAGCGCCTGCGCTGGCCTCTCAGAATCTTCTAGAGCTATAGATAAAAGTAACAAAGTTTTAGGTTGCCCTGTATAGTGCATGCTCCGCCCGCCAAAGCCTCAGTTCCATATGCCTGCCACATAGAGTTGGAACCCACTCACCAGTGACGGGGAGGCCGGGTGGGATGTGTGTATTTATAGAGATCCACTTGAAGAACCATGTTTACAGGTAAGTAACCTGTCCTTCAACGTGGTCTCTATGAATCCACACCAGTGGGTGACTAACAAGCTCACTTACCGGATGGTGGGCCGTCACTGCAGAAGCGAAGTAAGTACAGCCCTCTCGAATTTGGTCTCATTCTTGGCCCGTAGGTCCAGCTTGTAATGTGTAACAAAAGTAGACACATTGGACCAAGTTGCTGCTCTACAAATGTCTTGGATGTCAACTCCTTGCATCAGGGCCATCAATGTGGCTACAGCTCTGGTAAAATGAGCTCTGAGACCTTTGGGAATAGGTTTTTTCTGCAGTTCGTAGGCCAGAGAAATGGCGGAGACCAGCCATCTGGACAAAGTAGAAGATGAGGCCGTGGAACCTTTACGCTGACCATAGAAGCAGAGGAACAGTTTTGGAACTTTCCTAAAGT